GGCCACGGCTGTGTGGCACGGGCCTTGATGCTGGGACTATGCCTGGGGCTTCGGGGGACTTGGGGTGGGGTGGGGCTTGGGGCCTGGGTGGGGCTAAGCACATGCCCTGCCCACGCCCTGCAGCCACGCCCAGGGCCTGGCAGGAAGAACCTATGGACCACAGGCTGACGGAGCGCGAGTGGGCGGAGGAGTGGAAGCACCTCAACAGCGTGAGTTGCAGGCAGCGGCGAGTCCCAGGGGGGCGCTTTGGGGGAGCACCTTTCAGGTCTTCTGTCACTAGCTTCGCTTCCTTGGGGACCTTCCCGAGGCAGACCCCAGCCCAGTGGGTTAGAAAGGGGAGTCCCGGAGCCCCGTGGCATCCACACCAGCCCATGTGCAGCACCGGCCCCGGGGGCAGGCGTCCACATCTGCCTCCACCACGTGCTGCCAGGGCCGCCCTCCAGGCTCACTGCCTCGTCCGCGCACTGACACCCTGCGGCCCCCAGCTCCTCAGCTGCATCATGGACATGGTGGAGAGGACACGGCGGTCACTGACCGTGCTGCGCCGGTGCCAAGAGGCCGACCGCGAGGAGCTCGCCCACTGGGCCCGGCGCTACAGCGACTCTGAGGACATGAAGAAGGGTCCCGCGGCCCGGCCCCTGAGCAGCTCCGCCAGCCCTGAGGGGTCTCAGGCAGGTGTGTGCCCAGGAGCGAGGCCGGGCGGGGACTGCGGGAAGTGCCCTGGAGGGGCAATGGCTAGGAGGACCCCACCCCCCGTGGGTGTTAGCTGAAGCTCAGATGGGTGTCCCTTGAGGCTGAAGTGTGTTCCTCACCCTTCACAAAGATGGTGTCTATCACAAAGGCGTGCGGAGTGTGCTGGACTGGGGGCTCAGGGTGGAGGCCTGTGGGTCCACACCCACCTGTCCCAGCCCTGGCCTGAGCCTGTCCTTCAGCTCCAGAGCACCCCCGCCCTGCAAGAGCCTAGCCCTGTGCCTGCCCTGGAAGTGCACAGGCATGCCCGCCTTCTTGGCCAGCCAGGGCGAGACAAGACCCAGCATGGGGGGCAGTCGCTGCCCCCACCCTGGGCATGATGCTGGTAAACCTGTGTTCCAGACCCCCACCGGGACCTCACACCCAAGACTCCGTGTGGCTATATGCCTGAGGACATCTGGAGGAAGGCTGGTGAGTGGGGACATGGGGACAGTCAGGGGCAGGGCAGACCCCTCACTGCTCGGGCTATGGCAAAGCTAATGGCTACGTGGCCCACAGAAGGGTCGGGCAGGATGGCTGTGACCCAGCACCTGCCAAGGCCTGTTCAGGCCAGCGCATACTCAGAACCCAGTGGGCCCAGCCAGCATGCGCGGGAGACACACACCCCAGGACCTGAGCTGGTGGGTGCTCGGAGCAGCCGCAAGGCCCCCACGCCCTGAGCGTCATCCTTGGGAGGGCTGGGGCAGCTTCACTTGCAATGTGAGGGGCTCTGAGAGTGGCAGGGTGTGGCCGGGGGGGCAGGAGGACCTGGATGCAGGTGGCTTTGACAACAGCCCCCAAGTGAAGTGTGAGGGAGGCAGGAGGGTCTTGGAACTTTGGGAGTAGAGCAGTGGCCCAGCCGGGAGGCTGCTGAGGGCAGGGCTGGGTGGGGCCAGGCTGGGACCCCTGCCCAGTCCCCTTCACCTCTGCTGGCCCTCGCAGGCTGGTGGTGGTCTGCCTAGGCCTGGACAAGGACCTGCAGCCAGGTGTGTGAGCAGTGGTCGGGGCGGGTGGTCCCATGACCCCCAGAGGCAGCTCCGCACACACCCCCGCCCCCTGCAGATACAGGTGCTCCCTCACATGGGACACTCGGGGCCCTTTCGCAACGCCCCTCACTCCTGTGGGGACACTGCAGGCAGGGAGTGAGCCAGGCCTAGCAAGCCCTCGGGCAGGCGAGCAGGGGCTCGAGGGGCTGAGTCCACCACAGCGTGAACAAGTCTGAGGGCACGGGCCCTCACACCGCCCTGCGGGGCTGGGCAGCCCATGGGGTCCTGGGGCCTCAGGACTCGGACTGGCCAACACAGCACCTCGCTCGCCTGGACAGCACTGGCAGCCCCTAGGTGCAAGGACAGCCTGCACTCCCCTGTGCTGTGCCCACCCCCACAGACACCATGTGGCCTGGCAAGGCGTGCTGGGCACCCCCACTGCACAGGTAGGGAGGCCAAGGGCTGTCCAGGGTGGTGGTTCACAGGGGAGTGCAGGCTATGTGGGCACAGGGCCATACACAGGAATCCGGCCGCCCCGGGACCACTGTGACGGCACACTGCCCTGCGGCCCTCTGGGCAGACCCAGGCCAGAGCAGCTCCCCAGGGCCGTCCGCGGCGCAGACTTAGGCACTCCCACACCTGCTGGGGCGGGGCAGGCTGCCCATGTGCCAAGTTGGAGAGCCCAGGCCCAGGGCGAGCTGGGGGTCCACTCTGTCCTTCTCGCGCGGAGGCCCGGCCCCACCTGGCTGGCTGTGACCACCAGGCTCCCCCACCCTCTGCAGAAGAGGCTGTGAATGAAGTGAAGCGGCAGGCCATGTCAGAGCTGCAGAAAGCCGTGTCGGATGCAGAGCGCAAAGCCCACGAGCTCATCAGTACGGAGCGCGCCAAGATGGAGCGGGCCCTGGCAGAGGCCAAGCGGCAGGCCTCAGAGGATGCCCTGACTGTGGCCAACCAGCAGGAGGACTCCAGGGAGGAAGGGCCACCAGCCATTCCTGCACCCGGCCCGCCCAGGCCTGCGTGGTCCAGGCTAAGATCCAGCCCCCCAGGCTCGGGCTGGAGCCCCACATGACCTCAGAACTCGGGGGCTCCAGGCTCACCAGAGGTCATGCACCCAGCAAGCCATGCCCACCTGTGCTGTGCCCACCCTCACAGACACCATGTGGCCTGGCAAGGTGTGCTGGGCACCCCCACTGCGCAGGTACGGGGGCCGAGGGCTGTCCAGGGTCCCAAGCCTGGGAGGTCCCTATCTGAGCCCAGGCAGCGAGGCAGAGCAGTTCTCTGACCTGTGAGGGCAGGAGGTGGCAGTGGCAGGACTCCTGCAGACCTCTTGCAGCAAGTGCTGGAGGTGACAGAGCATGGAGTCGCCGTCCTGCTGTGCCTGGCTCCCTGCAGCGAGCTGGGTGTGGCAGGATGTACACAGCCCCCTCGCTCCTCATCGGAGCCCTCGGCAGCAGGTGGGGCCAGGGAAAGACCCTTTCCAAGGACACCCGACTGCTCTTTGGGAGGGCAGGTCTCCAGAGCCCTGGGCTGGCCCTGGCAGGGATGAGGCAGGCTCCTTCATGGCAGGACTCTGCACCAGCCCTTCAGATAAGTGCCCCGCTCCAGGGCAGCTAGAAAGACACTCAGACCAGGGCTGGCGTCTGTGTGCAGGGCAGTGTGTGGCAGCTGGCTGTGCGGGCTGACGGGGGCAGGGGGTGACCCCAGGTAAAGGCCAGAGTTGGTACTGTGCCCAGTGGTGTGAGGGCCAGGAAGGAGGCCTCGGGGACTTCAGCTTTTGCTCCTGGGTGGGTTTGGGATGTCCCTCGGCCAGGCTGCCTCCCTGGGACCAGAGGAGATGTTTCTGACGGCCTTGCCCCCCACCCTGGTGCCTCTGGCTTCTCATGGGTAGCCTGGCACCAACCTCGCTGGGCAGCTGTGAGTGCAGCTTTCTGCAGGAAGGGGCAGAGGCCCAGCAGGCACAGGAGGGTGGGTTCTGCCCTACCCCCTTGGAGCTCTGGAGGGCTTCGTGGCAAACGGGGAGGTGTTGTTGGACCTCCAGGGAGTGCAGTCATGACCTGGCCGTCCCCGAGTGGCCCAGCGAGTAGCCGTGTGCCGCAAATCACCCAGGACTTGGAGCCCTGCTCACCTGACAGCAGCTGGCTCCAACAGCTCCATTTGGGTCGGGGTGCGAGGCCGCAGGCTGGCCGTCCCTGACCTGCCCCACCCCCCCTTCCAGAGCTGCTGGAACTGCGGGCGCAAGGCCAGCGAGACGTGCAGCGGCTGCAACGCGGCGCGCTACTGCGGGGCCTTCTGTCAGCACAAGGACTGGGAGCGGCACCACCACGTGTGCGGCCAGAGCCTGCGGGGCCCTGCGGGCGCCGGTGCTGGACCCGT